CAAATAGTAGGCGTTACGATAGGTATCATTAGTCCTTTAGTTGACATCGTGCTTCATAGAAAGAGACACAGCAAAGTGGCAAAAAGTCGAGAGGGGGGACAGAATAATGATTCACAGACGTAAAAGAGACAGACAGACACAAAGGAAGAAAAAGGTGAGTATTGTGGAATTAGTAGAATATGAAATGCGGTGGGGTCTTGGTAGTTAATAGACTTTTTTGTCGTATGAGTATACGTTGCCCAGGGTGCACCATGTGGAGGTAAGTCTATCCCACACCCCTCTTTCCGAATATTTGATTAGTTAAATGGTGGTTAGTTAAAATTGCCCATTTAAATTGATTGCGGCTACGGGATTTCAACTCGAAACGTACCAGTGGGCCAATGAGAAACCACCTTTTCCGAAATCTTGTTTGGAATTCATTTACGCACGCTTTTCTACTGAGGCTAGCTTCAAGATAAATGACAGAAACCCCTACTTCTCATTTTCACCTTCGTCAATCTCACGATCAGTGCACGTCCCTCCCAGAACCTTGGGTTTCAGTCATTGCCCCACACTGCAATTATCAGTCGTTATCTTATTACAGGCATTCGTCGAAAAGACCTTTTCCATCACCAAACCCAGACAACTTCTAAGAGACAACGTCTGGCCATTATTGGCCAATGCTAATGGCCATGTTATATTCAAAGGGCGCGCACTAATCTCAGACTTTGTGCAAGTATAATAAGGGGTGAAATATTAGGAAATATTAGAAAAGAGGTATAATTTAAAACGCGATATATTCAGTCATTCAATCATAGATAATGAAGACAGAACGAGGACAGCAATAAGCATCGTCATTATCGTCATTAAAGAGATTTGCAATATAAATTCATTCACATTTGTGTCTATCTGAGGCACAGTAATCACTCTTCCATAGAGAAACGGGATTGGGAAACGGAGAGGGGTGGGGTGGGGGGTGGGGTGGGGGAAGGAGGGGAAGAAGTTTCAAAAATGAATGAGGTTGGGAGAGAAAAGAACAAGAGAGAGAGAGAGAGAGAGAGAGAGAGAGAAGGAGAGAAGTGGAGGGGGTTAATTGGATTGTAACTATACAGTGGTTAATGAGACTAGGCCTCTCCCATTGGTGGGTGGTTGGGTGGGCTGAACAGTGCCATTTGATTGGCGGGTTGGTGGGCCCCGGCGTCGATGCCGACTAGTCGCACGATCTGCTCCTTGCTCAGGCACCTGCCGACGGTCTCCTTTACTGTGATGACGTCCACCTCCATCGCCTTTTTCCTCATCTTCCCCTTCGGGGTGTCGATGGCTAGATCGCTCTTTTGTTTGTCGACTCCTTGAAAACGAAAACACCAATTGCACTTAGAATAAATCATCTCGCAACAACAATCAGATCAAAGTGGTGTTCAAGGTTAAGGAAAAAAAGAACACAAAAAAAATTGTTTGGCATTTGTCTACAGAGAAATGGCGATTTTTATGCTTTCGCAACTTAGTGAAGAGCGTTCTTATGCATTTTTATTTGTAATGGGTAAAAGAGCTTTTTTCTGGTCAAAATAACGCTAAGTGAGGCTAGATAACAGAGATTTCACTTCAAAATTTACACATCTAGTAGTTTGGACACCATGTGCTCTTTTTGTCCGCAAAGAAGTACCATAATACGCGAAAAGAAGAGTTTTGGAGAAGGCACTCCAAATATAGCTAAGGACTTTGAACAAATTTATATTATTATTTTGACTTTTCGAACCCGATTTGCAAGTGACGGTTGATGTACATAGTTTCCAGCGCCAATCAACCAGCGGATCGAAGGCTGTTTGCATCTGCCGCTTCACGTAGATAGGGAGTTGTCAACTTTTGCCAATCAAGATCTATTATGAGACATTTCAGGCATGCTGAAATGAGGTACATCAGGGTATTTCCTGGAGCGTAGATTCTTAAATATTAATTTTGAAGGTAAAAGTCACAGTGACAGCGTCCAACTTTATCTCTGGAATAAAGGTGCTATATTTCCGATAATGGATGCCACGAAGTTGAGATATCCGGAAGGATGTCCCAAAAAATGGATGCAGATTGAAAGTAATTGTAAATGTGGAGCTCAATTATAATTTAATTATTTCAAAAGCGTAAAAATATTTTACAAGTATAATTTTATTGCTTTTCACTTCTCGTTCTCAAATTGGCGTCAATTTCGATCCAGACACTGCTGACAACGCCAATCAATGGAATCGTCCACACATCATGAAATAATTCCCTTGGGATTTGGACGCATTCATGCTTGATGGCTTCTCTTGATTCAGTGACTGTTGGAGGTCTCGTAAAGTTGACTCTGTCATTTAAGTATCCCCATAACAAAAAAACTAGTGTAGTGTGAGGTCTGGTGAACGGAGAGGATATTCAACAAAACCTCTTCATTCAATCAACCTGTTTGGCAAGACCTCATCAAGGAAAGACCTAACGTGGAGTTGTTAATGTTGGGGGTGCTCCGTCTTGCAGAAAGTAA